AGCGGACACTAATGTATGGGCTGAAAATTGGATTATCAATACAATTCCAAGACCCCCAATGTATCGTGACGGCAGTTCCATAAACTTAGCGTTAAAAGTTTCCGATTTAATTATTGAGGGATCAGGTCAATGGGATATTAATTTGCTCCATCAAACCTTCACTCCACAGGATGTGCAACGGATACTTCTTTTAAAACCTTCAATTATATTGGATGACTCAATTAAATGGGGTTTTACACCAAATGGTTCATACTCAACGCGGAGTGGGTATAAGTTACTGGAGGCTTTAGTGAATTTTGATCAACCACAGGGACACTCTCTGACACCAATTGAAAAACAGTTATGGAGGAAATTATGGAAAATTAAAGCCCCACCAAAAATAAAACATTTTATGTGGCGTGCTTTATCTGGTGCGTTGGCGGTCAAACAACGGTTGAATACTAGGGGTATTCCGGTCGACCCCACATGCTCAGTGTGTGGTAATGGTGTTGAGAGTATTTGTCATGTTCTTTTTACATGTGATAAAGCCCGTAATACATGGGAGCAATCGAATTTCCCTACTCCCTTAGGTGGTTTTTCTCGAAACTCTACTTTTTTAAATTTTGTACATTTAATCAAGATGGGTTCAAGTTCTAGTACGGATATACATACAAGGAATGTCTTCCCTTGGTTGTTATGGGAAATTTGGAAATCTAGGAATGCTTTTATTTTTGAAAATAAAGTTCTACCACCGTCGTTAATTGCAAAACGAGCCTATGAAAAAGAATCCACATGGTTTGATACTTTTTCATGTAAGAATGAAGGTAGTAGTGATGCTGATGAGACGGATCATAGAGGATGGAAAAAACCACCACATGGATTTCTTAAATGTAATGTTGGATCCTCATGGTTAAATTCGAGCCATGTTTCTGGTGCTTCATGGATTCTACGTGATGAACATGGGTCTACAATCATGCATAGTCGTCGATCTTACTCGTGCATGCGTACAGTAGTTGAAGCAGAGTTATGGGCTCTTTTTGGGCGGTGGAATGTATGCATAATCTCCGTTTCTCTAATATAATCTTCGAAACAGCGTCTGAAAGCCTTCATGGAGTTATCACAAATCCAGATAACAACAATATCTTCAGCCATATACGCCACAATATCCGCTTTCTACTCACACAGATAGATTGTTGGAGTGTAGACCACGTTCGTTCCATCCGCAATGAGTCAGCAACGTCAATTGCGGTGAGTGTCACTCGTGATTCGCGCCACCAATCTTATATCGCTCAAGGAGGTCCAGTTTGGCTTCATCATCTACTTGCTTTGGAGGCTCAAGTGTAGAAGGCTTTGGTGAGATTTCCTATTCTTTTCGTTCTTGGTGTCTATTGACACCTATTTTTTCTCTGCTCTTTCTTTGTATGTTATGAAACTATGTCGGCTCGAACTAGTATCAATGTTATAAAAAAAAAAAAAAACAAAGTTTCCTTCAAGCATAATTTTAAGAATACCAACTTATTAATGGAAAATAATTAAAGCAAGCATATATCGTCTGAGCAGAAATTTGAGGAAAGATATTTATAATAGATATTCTGTGAACCATAATTTTAGGTCAATCGAATCAATGGCAAATTAATATTAGCTGAGAATATATCGACTTCACAATTTTTTGGAAATGCTAATTTTTTTTTAACACTGTTAAGTTTGAAGAGGTCAAGATGATACAAAAAGGATAAACAAAAGAGATAAATGAAATATCATTAGACACCAAACAAAAGTGGAAGGGACCTCACCAATTCCGCTTATTGCTGAACCTCCTAAGCGAGTAAGTGATGTAGCCACACTGGAGCATTTCGGGCGATGTATGACTGGTGACGCAGATCACGAGTGACACTTACAGTAATTGCCGCTGCAGCTTCATTGCGTTCATGAAGAGCGTGATCCAAACTCCATGAATCTATTCTTACAAAAGTAAAAAGATATTGTGACGAATATGGCTGAGGCTATGGTGGTCATTAGGCTTTGTGAGTATTTCATGTAGAAATACTAATTAGGAAGCAATATATTTTGAAAAGATGTCGACTGAGTTTTGATTAAATTGACTGAGCAATATATAATTTTAAATGTAGAAAAAAAAAACTAATAACCGAATCTCAATATTTGTGAACAATATAACGCTGAAAAGATTTTCCTTTAAAAATATGTTTTGGTTTATTCAATTAACGTCACAAACGCCATGATAGTTTTTGTAAATTTACCCGACTTAATTAGTTTTTCATAAATGGTTGAGCAATAAATTATTTATCAGATATAAATGTTATATTTATTCATATTATTTAGGCATATGAGATTTTAATATTTACGTTAACAGTAGACCATGTTCATCTTCCCCAATGCTCACTGCGTTAAGTTTATAAAGTAACAAAATTATTAACAAATGTTCAAGACTAACAATCAAATAATTTATGCTATTAATAGAAAAACATGTTCAAGTGTCCATGTTCAAGGTTAACAACAACAATAGCGAGCATCGTTTTCTATTGTCTTCTGCTTTCCTTGACTGCTTTCCTTGACTGCAAAAACAGCCCTTCCGAAACACACAAAATCATAGAATCTGGGAAGACATCCATGACCGAAGAAATTGACATAAACTTGATATTCATTAAAAGTCATAGAATCTGAGAAGATTTTATTAGTTTATTTGGTTATAGAGTAAAACTTGTGAGACGTGAATGAGTTGCAGTCGTCTTTGGTAGAAGAATTGACATGAACTTGATATTTATTAAACGTTAAAGAATTTGGGAACTTGTTATTAGTTTATTTGGTTATAGAGTAAAACGTGTGTATTCGTGAATAAGTTATTTCAATATATAGATCTCGATATTAAGGTGCTTGTAATATTAACATATTTAATGATAGAAAAATTTAATGTAATTAATTTTTAGTAGTTGGTCTAAAATGAAATATCACACATGAATCAAGATTGTGACTTCTGTTTTAATATATAAGATTTAATTATATATATTTTCAAAATAAAAACACAATTACCTATACACCTAACCACTTTTCAACCAATAGAAAAATAGAACATAATATGACGTTTATTTTAAAACTAATTTATTTCTCTAAAATGACAACTAATTCAAAACGGATAGAGTATTATTATACACTGCATAGTTTCCATCATTTTTATTTCTCTCTCAGTTATATGCCATCTCTTCTTTCACTGGCGAAACCACAAAACGTCTTCCACGTGAAATGATTTCTTCAACCGATGAAAATTATTTGTTTGATCAAAACCCATTGTGTAAAATCAGCCAGCTTTGAATTCTTTTAGTTTTCACATCTTTCACCCAAAATTTTACATTGTTTAGTTTAATAAACACTAAGTTTTGTTTTATTACACTGAGACTACATGGCAAACACACACAAAGTCTTTATTTGTTATTCTTGTGCAATGGAATTTTTGGCTTCAATTGGTCTTCTTAAACTTACTCTTCTTCTTTCAAATCTCTGTAATATATAATCACTGATCCATTTGCCTATAATGGCCACCTCTTTCCCCTTCTTGACTCTCATATGTGTGTTAAGAAACCACTGATAAGATTCACGTGACTTCTGTATTTGACTGAGACCTTAACATGGTTCTTGTCTGCAACAAAAAAAACAAGAATCATGGTAAGGGTGTTGTGTGTCAGGGAAGAGAACCACTAACATTGGAATCTGTATAAAACTTATAGTCTTTGATCCAACAAACTGTCCTATTATGCAAGGGTTTACAAGAAAGAAGTTTAAACATCTTAAACCCACTTACATACTTTTTGGAGTTCTCTCTTGATCTAACGTTTACTTCACAAATGCAAAATCATGAAGCTGGCCAACTAGTCACTGTTAACAATAACTTGCAAGAATAATCGGAAGCTATCCATGGAGAACACTTCAGCAATATATATTGATCTAAGTGGCTTGAGATTGGAGAATTCAACCACAACCAATCACGAAGGCATATATCTCTTCCTTCTCCTCATTCTGGATGCTTGAACACAGGGCTCCAAACATCTACACTAGAATAGATATATCTAAAACGTAAATGAACAGAGTAACTAGAGACATGACGTAAACATCAAGCTCAACAAAGAGAAACGTAGAGCAATCATCAAACAGAAACATCTGTTTTAGTTGTACACACACAAAAAAAAGGGAGTATTCACTTCGCAGGATTTTAAATAATATATACTGAAATACTCTCATATTCAATTTTTGAATCAAGTTTCCTTAGTGTGGCGTGTACGTGTTTGTATCGCAAAAATGTAAGTGGCAATATTTATACACATTTTAAGGGCAATGTAACCAGCCGTACTCCTTTAATGCAGATCTTCCTGACTCATATTTGTGTTCTATATAAGATAGGGTTTGATCCAAGAAGCTGTTGTGTTGTTCTCAAAGCGTTTACAACATAAACCTAAAAAGAAGACGTGTGGAGTTTTTCTTTGATCTTTGATGTAATGTCAACTACACAAAGAGTTTATTAGAAAGTTTCTGAGGTTGGTTGTTGATTGGTTGAACGGAACCAGTCAAATCTACATAAAACCGAGTTGCACCAAGTTAGGCTATTTTAAAGAATAAACTAATCAAAAAAAAACAGAGAACCAAAAGTAAATTAATCACAGATTCTTAATATAAGAGTAGCACCAAGGTTAGCAATTAGGCTTTGAATGAAGGTGAATTGAATCGGTTCAAACATGGGTTCGTTAAAAGTGGCAATAATGTAAATGCAATAGTCAACAGAAGTAGGAGATTCATTCAATTAATATTTAGGTTAGTTTAGTTTAATTACAGGTATAATAAAACCAAACATTTGAGGATAGTTCCTTTTGTTAGGGAAAGAGACGTGGAAGGGTGAGTCTCTTTCTCTTCCATTCTCTTCTTCTCTGTAGTAGTATATACCAAAGACGATACGTAAAAGAGATCCGTTTTTTTTTCACTTAAATATATAAAAAAAGAAAAGAATAAAAATGATTTAAGAAAGTTTGAAACAGCTTTAGGTCTTCCTTGGCTCTCTTATCTTAAAATCTTTCCCCTTTCTTCCTTTGCTCCTAAACGTTTCCAAAAGTCCTTCTTTCTCGATTTTAATTCGCGTCTTCCATTTTTTGTTTTTTCAAATTCCTTCTCAATCCATAAAAAAACACAAAAAAAAATTGTTGCTTTATTTGTTCGTTTTTTTTTTTTAATTTTTAAAAAAGTACATACATCATCTTATCTTATTTAGCGATTCAGCTTAATTTTTTTTTCTTTTTCAGTTTGATTCGTTAATTCATTGTTCTGTGGTTTGTAAATATTCAATTTTTTGTTGTTGTTGTTAGCTTGGATCAAAACTTTGATTGTGTATTGCTTGAAGCAAGTTTGGAGTTTGCGTGTATTTTGTTTCTATTTTTAGATTCGTTTCTGATCTTTTTGCAGTAAAAAAAAAAAAAACAAAATTTCTGTTGAGATTTTGAATTGGGGGATTATCCGCTCCCTCTTTCTCGGAGATTCCGTCGTGTGAGATATTATTTTCTCTGGCGTAGAAATATAGAGAGCATTTGATTTGGAAAGGCTAACACTAGTTAGTGTGAAAGAGTTGATCCATCGAACATTATTACTATGACGACTTCTGAGAAGGGCACCACTTCCGACGGAGGAGTTGTGTCCAGATCAGCCAAAACCTCCTTCCGCGCTTTCTCTAACTGCCTTCGTGTGATTTCCTATGGTGCCTCCACCTTTGCTCGCTCCGCTGCTTCCGCCGCTTCTTCCGCCGTTAACCGTGACATTGGATCTCCCAACGATCAGGTATAGAAAGTTGCCATATGGTCAATTTGAAACTTAAGAGATTCCTTCCTGTTCTTGGTTTTGTTTCTCTTTAGGTGACAGTAATCTCTTGTGGGTTTTGCTTCATTTGCTTGATAGCTTTAAAAGCTTGGACCTTTAGGTTGTGGAATGTTTCGTTTTTCTACAAGTTGGATGCTTTCAATGTTCTTTTTTTTACCATTTAGAGTCATTCAAATTTAGAAGTGGGTTGGAGATATCCTAATTAAGAGCTTTTTATTTGTTATAATGGATGAAGATTCTTGTTCTTGGGAAAATACTTGCTTATCTTTCTCTTTAGGTGAAAATAATCTTTTGTGAGTTTTGCTTCATTGGGTTTGGTTGATAGCTTTTAAAGCTTGGACCTTTAGGTTTTGTTACTCTGTTGAGAAGGTCTTTTTTTTTTTTTAAGTTGGATTTTTTTTTATGCAAAAGGTACTGTGGGCGGGGTTTGATAAGCTAGAGAAAGAGGATGGTGAGACTCGAAGAGTTCTTCTTCTTGCATTTCACTCTGGTTTTCAAGTTTGGGATGTTGAAGATACAGAGAACGTCCATGTTATAGTCTCTGGGCATGATGGACGATCATCCTTTATGCAAATGCTAACCAACCCGGAGGACGTAGACGATATGTTTTCTGAGAGCCGTCCGCTTTTGGCTGTGTGTGGTGACAGTTCTTGGGAAGAGAATTCGAGTAGGCAAAGCGTTTCTGATAACCCTGGAAGCGAAACTTTGGTGCCTACAAATGTGCATGTCTACTCGTTAGAGTCTCATTCTTATGTGCATACGTTGAAGTTCTGGTCTATCATCTATACGGTTAGGTGCAGTTCTCGGATTGTTGCTGTACTACAAGCAGCTCAGGTTCGAAATTTGTGTCGATTTTTCATTGTGATTCGTCAGTTCTGAAACTAATTGGTACCATATTTGACTTTGCAGATTCATTGCTTTGATGCTAAAACATTGGTAAAGGAATACATTATTGTCACTAACTCCATCGCCTATGGCTCCTTGGGTGTTGGATATGGTCCTCTTGCCGTTGGTCCACGATGGATTGCTTATAGCGGAACTCGTGTTGCTGACTCAAGTTCCACACCTTTCACTCCAGAACTTATCACGCTGCCATCACCCAGTATTGGACAAATTGCAAGGGATTCGAGCAGGCAGATCGCTACTGGGTTCAGGAATATTGGTAAAGGCGTTGGACTTACTAATGACAATGTGCCAGACGAAGAGGATAGCATAGGAATGGTAAAACTACAAATCTTCCTCAAGTTGATTTATCATTGATGTGTGCGTTATACTTATATTATGTTGTGGTGTTTGCAGGTTATAATCAAAGATATCATAAGCAAAAGTGTCATTGCGCAGTTTAAGGCACACAGGAGTCCTATTTCAGCTTTGTGCTTTGATCCAAGCGGCATGCTTTTGGTTACTGCTTCAACTCAGGGACACAATATTAATGTCTTTAGAATAATGCCGAGAACCTGTACAAGTAGTGATGTGACCACAACCTCTTTTGTGCATCTGTTTAGGCTTCAGCGTGGTTTTACTAATGCGGTAAGCAGAGCCCTTCGTATTGAGAAAATATGACCTTGTTTTATTAACACCAATGAGATTTTTGCAGGTGATACAAGACATCAGTTTCAGCAATGATAGCAGTTCGATTGTGATTAGCTCTTCAAGAGGGACAAGTCATATGTTTGAGATCAATCCCCTGAGAGAGGGGAAAGGTCCGGTTCCTCTATCGGCGGTTAATAGGATAAGAAGCGGAAACATCAGCGGATGGATGGGAACAATGAGTGGTGCTGCAGCTGCAGCTGCTGGAATGGTTGGAGGCTCTCTAACTGGTGCAACCGCATCAACTTTCTGTTACTCCGTTGAACAGAACAAGAACAACCGTTTTGGTTCTGCTGCTTCTTCTGATAATACCTCAAAGAGGAGTCTTCTGGTTTTTACTCCTTCAGGATGTATGACACAGTATCCGGTTGGGGGTAGTCATGAGGCTGCGGGGTTGGATTTTGAGTCTGGTTCAGAGATTGAACCAATAAGAAGGTGGTCCATGATCCAAAACCAGTCGAGAAGAGAGATGCAAGATCAGCACAGTGACATATATGGAGGTGGAACAGTTTCTGATTCTAAAAGTAAAGTGTTTCCTGAAATTGTTAGGAAGCAGAGTGCTGAGGAATCTTGTAAAGTGACTAAGAAAGGAAAGGCTCGTGTGGAGGATAAGCATCAGATGTACATGTCTGAAGCAGAACTGCAAATGTACCAGCCTTCTCGGCTACCATTATGGGGAAGGCGACATGTAAAATTTCCTCATTTTTTTTCTTCATTGAAAGAGAGAATGATTTGGAAACTCGTAATGTGCTGTGTGAATATGTCTGATACTTTGTATTTGGCATAAAACAGTTTAGGTTTCAAGAGTTGATGTTGGATGTGGATGAAGAGAGTAATGGTGGAGGAGGGGAGATGGAGATTGAAGGAATCCAAACTCGAACGATTGAAGCAAGAACAAGAGATTTGGTTCCAGCCTGGGGTTATCTCCACTCTCCTAAATCACAACAAGTTATGAAAGAGTGAGTTTCTGGAATCTGCTTAATCTGTTATAATATACTTTGGTTTTGTTTTCTGTGTTGGTCTCTGTCACAGTTTCTTGACACTAATATTATGCCACAGATCAATGCAGAGTCCAACGAACACTACACTAGATGATCAAGCGGCTCCCCTAGAGGATCATGGAGCAGAGTCCGCGCTCGGAGTTGTACATAGCAAAGAAGAGAGCTCGAGTTCTGAAGAAGATAGCTCGATATCAGAAGAAGAGACCCATAGCAAGTTTGTACATAATGAAGAAGGTATTGCGGAGGAGAAGAACCTTACTGAAGTTGAGGATGAAGAGGAGATGCACTAGAAGAAGGTGATGTCGTTTTTGGTTTATTTTTTTCACCACAAAACTCAGCTTCAAGTTCAACAACAGAAGAACAAAAATAACTGTGGAAAATTGTATAGAAAAAGAAAATTGATATAACTCTTAGATGTAAATAGAAATATCTTTTTTTTTTGTTACGGAATTATATTGATTCATTGATTCATGACCAGCAACATGATAATAATCATAAATAAAATAGTAACGTGAAAATTGTTTGTTGCACCTTTATAGTCATCAGCATCATCATTGCATATCCAGGTTAGGTCAAAGACTTCAAGGCTCTCTGTAAGCTCGAGTACCCTAAAAGAACCATCTTGCAGTCGCAGACTCCGCTGATGATGATCATCCAGGTTGTGTCAACGGCTGGCTTACAACAAACTGTAGTGAAGATATAAAGCTACAATCTAGAAACTACGTATCTATGTTATGTATATCTATTATGGTAAATCAACCGAGGATTTTGGTCACTCCAAGAATTATTCTTCCCCTAAATTCCAGTTTTCTTTTTAATATGAACTGAATTTCATTGCTGCACCAGACTAAAGAGATCGAAAAAATTGTTGTTAACATCATATACATATATGCTTCCAAAGTGGTTGATGTTAGGAGTTTTTGAGGCTCCTAAAACAAATGTTGTAGTATAGAGGATTGTCGAACCAGTTCTGAGGGATTTAAAAGCACCGAGAATACAAGTACTAGCTTAATCTAAGTGCGATCATGTGATTGATTGGTTTTTAAGGTTAACTAAAACTAGAATGCAATAAAAGATATAACTTTGACAAAGAAGGTAAAGGAGAACTCATGGGTATAGGGAATTTGACTTTGGGTGATCAAGTTTCGATCTANGACTGTTAAAAGCTTAAGAGAGTTGACTCAGACATTTCATCGAACACTTTGTGAGTGGGAAATGTCTAGAGATCAACCTTTGAGTGATCAATTCAAAAGAGGCATTATGGTTACTCTAATAAGCAAGGAACAAGAGAAATCTAACACTAAAACATCCTAACATCTAACCTAATCACCCTTAATCTCCCTAACCCATGAACTCAAAAGGTGATTACTCACTAATCTCCATGATTCCTCTTAAACCCATATTGGATTTCAGATTAATCATGTAAAGAAATAGATAAGAAATCAACAAGAACACAAGATGAAAGCAATGAAATTTTAATCCAAAAGAAATTTTCTTCAAGAACAAAAGATAATCTGCCTCTGGAGGCTTACAACGTAGTTTTTATTAGGTTTCTGAAACTCAAAACATAAAAAATAAAAATTGCAAAAAGGTCCTCAAATCAAGTTTTTCGTCACATAAAAGACGCACAGCAGGGTCACAACCCCGCTGCCAAGACCCCGCTGTGGCTGCTTTTCTTTTCTATTGAACGCGAGCGACCCCCTGACTCCGCCCCGGGGGTCCGCTGTGACTGATGTTGCTTGCAGCGACCTCTTGACTCCGCTGTGGCTGCTCCGGCTCGCCAAATGACATCTTTGCACTCTCTTTTGGCACATAATTGATCCCAAACACCTCCAAGAACTCCACAGCATATTTCACCACCTGATAAAGACAAATGAATGCAAAATGCAACCTAAGAGTGCCTAAATCTAATCTATATGCTCAACATGAATAAGAATGCAAGGTTAAAACCAAGTAAATATGCAACATATCAGTGGTGGAAGACTTGGAGATTCTATGATTGATGCTGGCTCTACATGTTAATTAATGTTTGTTTGTTTAAACTCGCCAGATTCCCTAGACACTATTTACAAAATTTTGTTTTAACATCATATACATATATGCTTGCAAAGTGGTGGAAACTTAAGAGATTCTATGATTGATGCGGATACTATTTTGTTGTTTTATCTACACATGGATCGATAAGTTTTTTGATTGCTTTGATGATATAAAATGTCACATAATCAAGATCAAATTACTAAATAAGTTAACAATGGTTGTACCTGAAATGTGTACTTGAGAAATATTGTATATTTAACAATTAAATGGTCCATTTTTTTTAGTTTTGTGATTAATTCGTAAAATCATTTAGTTACAAAATTTCAGTCGCTCAGTCTGACCCGCTCCGTCCGACCAGCAGCGGGTTGAGTCATTTTTTCGACTCAAAAATTTGACCCGTCTGATCCGCAAAGAAATATATTTTTGCAAGATTTTTTTAATAAAATTTGGAAGAGAATCAGTCTATTAATGAAATCCATTAATATATAATTTTTAGACCCAAAAAACAAAAGACCATATTGATATTAATGAAAATAAAAAATTTGTTCATTTCATTAAGGGTATAATTGAAAAACATAAAAAATTTATTAAACAGAATGTTTTTGAATGTTTTTGTTTTAATGGTAGTGATTATCGTTACAAACGCTTTCACTCAAAAAAGTGATATGGCATAACCAATGATACGTTGGACTAGTTATTTAGTATTTAGAGTTGGTTCCACTGTAACTCTAGTTCGATCCCACTGGGAGGAATGTTTTATGCCATAACATTGATATTAGCTTCTGTTGGTTCCAGATCTAAAGGAAGATTAGGGCTTTGGTCAAATCTCCTCCCAGTTTACAACATAAAAAGACATGACATATTAAAAATTACTAGGAGGTTTCCCGTAAATTTGCTGAGTATAAACAATTTTAAAAATTTAATAAAGTATAATGTATTTTTGCCATATAGTAATGTATTTTAATATTTTAAAATGAATGTGAATTTTGGTAGATAATTTTTTAAAATAAACAAATTTTAATTTTTTGATATTTTTTCAAAGCTTTAATATATTTATGAAGTTTTTTTAGACTTTTAACATCTTTTAGAATAAAATATTTTATTAGATTTTTGTATCAACAACCATATATGGATAATTAAGATTTTCGTACATTAAGAATGAAATTTGTTGGGCTCCCCCAAATCCCTTCCTGCCAAATTGATGCCTCATGGATCGATCATGGCAGCGTAAGTGGCTTAGGGTGGAGCTTGAAGGATCAGATGGGCTCGGAGTGGTTTGGTTTACGAGCATGCAGTAGGAGCCGCTCAGCTTTGCATGCAGAGATGGAAGGGTAACTATGGGCAGCTTCATGTCTGAGAGAACTGCGGATCCCTTGACTTCGGTTCGAAACGGACTGCTCGGATCTCGTCGACATGAGCACAAACCCGGAAAACTGGCCGGCTTTCGCAACAGAGATCGAGATCTTCCAGAGACTGCGGGAGGGCTTTGAGGATCTGAGGCTGTCTCATATTCCCCGAAGCTTGAATGGTCGTGCAGATGCCCTAGCCAAAGAAGCAAGAAGAAAAAGAGTTATATTTTCCCATATAGATCAGACCAGGCCAGACGGAGATGCTCTCCGGAGGATCGACTCGTCTGTCCACCACTTGATCTAAACCAAATGGGTGTGCGAAAAAAAAAAAAAAAAAAAAAAGAATGAAATTTGTCTTATAACATTATCGTCTAGTTCAATCGGTTAGAAATCAAATTTGTTGTCCATAAAAATTATCAAAATCCAAAAAATGAACTAATGTGATAAATAGACTTACATTCGAAACTAAAGTATAAAAAAAGTTATATGAAGAAACATTCTATATATGTTAACTTCTATTAATTTAATAAAAACTAGATTTTGATCCGCAAAATAGTGCGAGTGTTTAATTTCATTTATATATTTATAGATATATGTTTTACATATATATATATTTTTATCGTTAATTATATGTTTAAATGTTTATATAACCATCACATGTATTTGTCATTTTACTATATATTTGTCTTATTAGATTTGCATTTGTGTATTTAGTAGATCAGTATATGCATGAAACTACATATTTAAGAAAAACAGTTGTATTTAATTTATTCGAAATTCTTACATGCACTTTAAAGCTTTAGATTAACTTTGAACAACTTTAACTTTTATTCATTTTAAATAATATATTATTGTGTATATAAAATTTTAAGATATAATAAGTTGTATAAATGTATTATATAGTTTAGTTTGTTAATCCGGTTTGCAAACATATTATATTATTTTAAGATAAATATTTATATTAACATATCAACTTAAGATATTTTTATCCTATTTAGTTTGGTATAATAGTTATTTTTATGTGATTAATTATGATTATAAAATAAAGAAAACATAAATAGAATTTTTATTTTTCATTTTTATAAACAATAACTAACTATATCTTAATGTATAGCAATATTTTATTATTAATTACAAAGTTATTGGAAATATTTATACAATAATTTTGAAATTAAAACCTTGTTAAAATCAATTTTTACAAAACCTGTTAGAATTTTTAAAAATTATATATTTATATTTAAAATGAAAAGATATCAAAAGATATTATGATTAAAATAATTACAAAATTAATATTATTAGTGTCAAAAAAAAATATTTATGCATGTTTCTAAGGATGTCCAACTAAAAAAAATCACACATGAAATGAAGTTGTGACTTCTGTTTAAATATAATAGATAAAAATTATAAAATTAGGAATATACTTTTATCCATAGTTTTCTTTAGATTGTTTTAAAATTGATGTAATTTGTTTTGTGGTTATTTTATTTTATATGGAAATCTTCGCAACAAACATATGTGTACACTGAAATTTATATAATTTGTACATGTGTACACCGACAAAACATTGTACACAATAAAGCTTGTATCCATGTACAAACATATAACAACAACAATGTAAGTTGGAAGTATTTGCACAAAAACGTACGTGTGTACACAAAAAATTATATAATTTGTATATGTGTACGCCGATTAAACATTGTACACAATAAAGCTTGTACAGTTTCTCATGTCACAGGGTTTGGTTCAGCGTTTTAGTTCATTTTTGCTTAATTTGTTAAAGAGTGGAAATTTTGTAGTTATGTCATCATCTTCATAGTAGGGTTTTCTATGATCTTGCAACTATATTTCGGAACAGCCATAGATTTTTTTCATGCAATTTTTTTTTTACTTTTTGGCGTTCTATCTCCAAACCTTACACATATTGTTGATATAATGAGAGCAGAACAAATAAAGTGCAGAAAGTAAAAGACACAAGTTTCTCTTTTCAAATTCACTAAAATAAGAAATTCTTACACCAATCTTTTCTATTACAAGAATCTTTTAGGATTAGCGCAATCCTAAGCTAAAACTCAGCTTAGAGTCTAGACTTTTGTTTATCAGGATCCTCCAAATCCTGAGCTAAACTCCCT